AACATATGTTTAAATGGCGTCAAAGCTGGGATTGATATGTGGTGGGATGTTTTTGTGTGTGTGTGTGTGTGTGTGTGTGTGTGTGAATGAAATAGAAATCTGTTCTGAACTAGCACCAAGCGTTGCAATGAAACTTCTTTGTGCGAGTCCTCTCTGTCTCTCTTTTTTTATTGGAAACTTGTCACTGTCAAGAAAGGTCACACCATTCCCTCAATCCGTCTCATGCTATCTGTGTTTTGCAAAATGCTGCAAAACAGGGTCATAAACCCAGATGGAATATTTTAATACTGACATTGACTCGCTCACCTACCAAAGGATTTCGAGCTTTTATTCCCTTGTATTCCTGACAAAAGGCCAGAGTATGTGTAGTGCTGCCCACCCATTGCAAAAGATGCCCCCCCAACACTCCTCCTCCTCCTGTGGACCATTTTCACCTGTGAAGGCCCCAGCTTTCCGAAGGTGGCTTTTCCTGCGTGAGTGACTCAGACATGTGGCAAAGGCTACATGGATGAGTCATGCTTCTGAGGACAGGTGTGAGTCCCTCCCTCCCCCCTTCCCACAAGACACCAGAAGCTCAGAAGGAAGGATTCTGCAGCTCATTTCCATTGCTCCTGTGCAATGTGGAAAGAGAAAGAAGTTGTCAGCTGTCCAAAAAGATGTCTGTTTTAGGTGCAGTTGCTAAAATAAACATTGCTGGGGAGGGGGGAGATTTTCTTCTTTCTCAACCATTTTTAGAAAACTGACCTTATGCCCTCCAGATGCTTCAGACTGCAATTTCCATCAGCCCCAGCATGGCCATATGAGCTCTAGGTAACTTTGGCTCTGCTAATAGACCCTGAACCCTCCACGGGAGGGGTGGAAAGAGATTCGCACCACCACCACATGTGACAGTGGATGCTGGACACTGCTTGCAATCTTGCTGCCAGCCTTGCTTGCAATTTTGCTGCCTGTTGTGGACTTGGTAGACTCAGCGCTTTTAAGAACATTTCCCTTTCCGCAAGGCTTGTACTGTCCCTCCTTATTCCAAAGCCGCAGGGTGAAAGTGCTACCTGGGTCTCAACCCATGCTTTTAAACCTTCATCTTCTCAAGACTCCAAGGTTACATTTTGCTATAAGCTTCCAGGCCTTATGGCAGGGAAGAAATGCCCAAAGCGTGTGAAGGGTGGTGCCTGCTGAAATCTCAGAAGCTGCAGGAGGGAGATGCTGGGTAAGATTTCTGCGGGATCGGAAGAACATTAGAGTAGCCTCCTGGATCAGGCCAAAGGGGGCCCCATCTAGTCCAGCATCCTGTTCCCAAAGTGGCCAACCAGATGCCCCAGCAGGAAACCTGCAAGCAGGACCTGAGGCTTCCAGCAACTAGTATTCAGAACCATACCCCCTCTAACCAGGAGTGCATAGCATAGGCACTGGGGTTAGTAACCATCAATAGACTTCTCCTCCATGAATTAGTCCAGTCCATCTGTTAAAGCCATCCAATTCAGTGGTCATCCCTGCCTCCTGTGGGAGCAAGTGCCATAGTTTCACTGTGTGAAGGACTACCTTTTATCTGTCCTGAGTCTTCACTGTTGCATTCAGTGACTGTATGAGGAGCAAACAGGTTTTGCCCAGTGCCATGCACCATAAGCCAAGGTTGGCCACACACCTTGGAGGGCTGTCTAATCAGCATTTGTTTAGGATCTACACATACACAGGGCTTCCCAGTTTCATGGAGTGGCATGCTCTCCCCTCCTGTGGTTTCCAACAACTGTTTTTCAGAAGTATTGCTGCCTTCAACTGTCTAATCCTTTTTTCCAAGCCATCCAAGGTTGGTGGCCATCCAGTGGCAGTGAGTTCCATAGTTTAACAGTGCCTTGCGTGAAGAAGGAACCTTTCTTCACGGGGGACTTGCTCCACTCGCTTGATTATTTTTGGTTGCTCTGTTTTTTCTCAACCTTTCCCAACTCTACAATATCCTTTTGGAGGCGAGGTAACAAGGACTGTACAACCTGTGTTCTCCGAGGAGCGGAACAAACTGTGCCAAATGAGCAGATTTCACACAGGTTGCAGAATTCTTCTGGATGCTGAAAGTAGTCCGGGAGCTGCGGTTGAAAAGAAGTCCTTCGCTGGAACCTCGATTGTTGGCAAGGTCGAGGGCGCACGGCTGCCATCTGTTCCTGTGTGGCAAGTGGCATTCACATGGCACTCTGCTGAAGCTTCTCCTTCTGCTTTCCTCACCAATAAGCCCCCCGCCCAGTGCCCCTCCAAGTTTGCACTGAAAGGCCTAGAACGCTGCCCCCTGGCAAAGTGTTACACTCCAGGCTTGGATGCAAACTGCAGATTACCAGCCCTCCTCTTTGGCTGGTCCTTGCTTCAGTGGCTCTGTGCTTCTGTTTTGTTTAAGGTCAAGGTATGTAACCCATACAGCTGCTGGAAATGTAACTTTGCAAATGTCGCCTCGCGTTCGTAAAATGTGAATTTTCGGCTGAGCGGCAATTGCGAGCCGAGCCATAAAGTTCTGGGAAGTGGTGACTTTGTTTGAATAGCGTGAACTGGGTGGGTCGGGTCGTCTTTACAGAACAGCTTTTCAAAGGGCTTTGGATTAAAAAACTTCCTTCTTTGTTTGGGGTTTTATCTGATTGGCTTCTCCTTTTGTAGTTTTCTCATCGTTGACAGGTGAGAAATGCCTGACCAGGTCACTTAGCCTGGTATTCTGTTTCCAGCACTAGGCAGCCTGGTGCTCCCAAACAAGGTATGAAAAGGATGTCCTTCCTTTATGACTATTTCTTTGCTTCTCTACAGCATCTTGTATTCAGGGATACTACCTCTGTAAAGAGAGGTTTCATTCGACTTCTGTGGCTTATAGCTGCTGTTAGTCCCCCTCCTCTACAAATCTGCCACATTCTGGCAGAGATTTCCACAGGTCACTCATTGTGTATTTGATGCCGAACCCATTGGTTGGGGCTCACAGCTGCTTCAAACAAGCCTCCAAGACAACCAGGTGGACCCACCCTTTCCTTATTAGAGTACTGTAATGCCTCTGCGTGGGGCTGCCCTTGAAGACTGTTCACACATTTCTGCTAGATGTGACTGCAGAGAAGGCTTGCTATGGTGTTCCTGCCAGACATGGGGCTGGTAGAGTCTGCAGGAAAGCCTTCTTGGCTGATCTTAAAGGATGAGTGAAGATCATATGTGAGAGAGGCACAGCATCGTGTCAGGATTCTGGGATGGGCATTCCAGGCATCCATTGGACAGCAACAAAGGAAGGGTGGAGACTTTTGAAGGAGCAGAGCTGGAGAAGAAATACCGTATTTTTTGCACCATAACACTCACTTTTTTCCTCCTAGAAAGTAAGGGGAAATATCTGTGTGTGTTATGGAGGGAATGCCTACGGGTGGCAGGGGGGATCTGCTGCAGTTGTGAGCAGAGGATCCATGGTTCCCCTTCCTTCCCTCCTCCGTGGCTCGCTTTGAAACAGCAAAGCGGGAGAAGAGCCGCTGAGTGGGGAGGAGAGAGGGACAGAGAGCCTGCTTCTTTAAAGGAGCAAAGACGGAGAGGAGAGGAGCCACTTACATGAGTGTAAGCGGCTCCTGTCCGGTTGGTTCCTTTAAAGCAAGCAGGCTCTCTGTCCCTCTCTCCTCCCCACTCAGCTTGCTACATAGCAGCAAAGTTTTTCAGCTCGCTAAGCCAGGGATGAGCGGGAAGGAGGGAGAAAAGCAGAGCCTGCTTGCTTTAAAGGAGCAAAGCGGGAGAGGAGAGGAGCCTTCTCCCCTTATACCCCTCTTCTGCATTATTAGCAGCATCCTTCTCCACCCACCCCATGTGTGCTCCTTGTCCCTTGAGTGTTTTTCCTTCCCTCCCCACTTAAAACGTGGTTACAAAGCATGGATCCTCAGGACTTTTGCACTGGGTCACCCCAAATTCACCATCAGATCACATAGCATGTCCATGGCTACATCTTGCACCAAAAAAATCACGCACCCACTGTTGCCTGGGGCCGCAGTGGTGCAAAAACGTGGTTACAAAGCACGGATCCACATGGATCCTCAGGATTTTTGCATTGGGCTACTCCAAACTCACTGTCAGATCACATGTCTGTGGCCACAGCATGAACCACAAAAATCATACATCCACTGTTTCGTTTAGAATATTTTTTTTCTTGTTTTCCTCCTCTAAAAACTACGTGCGTGTTATGGTTGGGTGCATGTTATAGAGCGAAAAATACGGTAGTTGTAGGCTGGAATACCAGGTGGAGGAAGTTCTTGGAGAACATGTAGCGGGAGAAGCCTTCTTTGAGGATGGGGCGCCCATCACTGAAACCTCTGGTCTGCTCAAGAATGCACAGCAATTTATGCTGAGCTGAAAGATAAAGACTACAAAGTATTTAATGCGTCAAATGGCATTCTCTCTCTTTCTCTCTCACACCCACTAATAGTTATTAGCCACGTTGAGTAGGAGTCCTGAGATATTAGAGGAGGATTCCTCCCCTTTTTCATTCGTGTAAATCAAGTGCTGTGTTTGCTTCGGAACTCTCCCTCGCCTGCTACTGGTCCTGAAATATCCTTTAGATTAAATTTTTATATTTGCCAGGAAAGGGCCTTCATAAAGATGATCAGATTAAGATAACACCAGATGCCAGGAACTTGTTGCCCCTGTGAGGAGGGACGTCACAAGAAGTTTCCCCCCTCCTTGTTATCACACAAATTGCGAACAATTTGCATACAGCTGTGCTGGGGGGGATTATGCTAATTTGCTAAACAATCCAGTAGCAATTATTATTTTTTGTTTAGTGGTGAGTTAAACTTACTAGATGCCTCAGTAAATAAATATATATATATAAAATCCCTATAAATTAACTGCCCTGAGACCTCCAGGTATATAAATTCTAACAACAACAACAACAGCAGCAGCTGTTTGAGGATCTTGCACAATCATTATTATTTGTTATTTATCAGATTTATAGATTTAATACAACCATTGTCAACAATGCTGTTTTCTGGGCTGCAACCTCTAATTTGGGCAAGGGAGCTGTAGCTCAGTGGGTGAGCATCAGCTTTGCATGCAGAAGGTCGCAGGTTCAATCCCCAATGACAGCTCAAAGTAGGACTGGGGGAAAATCTCACTAAAACGCTGCAGAGCTGCTGCCAGTCAGTGTGGACAGTACTGAGCAAGATGGACCAAACTTTCTGACTTGGTTTAAGGCTGCTTCCTCTTTCCCTATTTAAATCAGCCCTTCGCTCAGAACCATGAGGACTGAGATCTTGCTGTAGCTCAGTGGCAAAGTGCCATCAGTTTCCTTGGTTCATGGCTGAATCTCCAATGGCATCTCCATGTAGGGCTAAGAACTCTTGCCAGGCATAAATACGCTGCAAAACAAAAAAATAAACAACTCCTAGTTGCGCTTGATTTACAACATGGAATGCAACTACTTTATAATATGATCATGGGGCATCCAGAAATTTTAAAACAATGCAGCTACATAAGACCATCAATCATTCCCAAGATATAATTATAAGCAAGCCTCTTGCATATGTACCTTAAGTATGTATACCAACTCAGTGAGAGGTGGGAGCTTGGTTTTGCCGGGTAATCTCATTTATATTAGGGCTAATTCGAGACAAACAAACTCTCATCTCCTCATCAATGCAAATAAGCCTTTATCTCTTTTGATCCTTCTTAGGGACGCGGGTGGCGCTGTGGGTTAAACCACAGAGCCTAGGACTTGCCGATCAGAAGGTTGGCAGTTCGAATCCCCGCGGCGGGCCGTTGCTCGGTCCCTGCTCCTGCCAACCTAGCAGTTTGAAAGCACGTCAAAGTGCAAGTAGATAAATAGGTACTGCTCCGGCGGGAAGATAAATGGCGTTTCCGTGCACTGCTCTGGTTCACCAGAAGTGGCTTAGTCATGCTGGCCGCATGACCCGTCGGCCACGACTGGACCTAATGGTCAGGGGTCCCTTTACCTTTTTATTGGTCAGAGTTGAAAAATCTCTGTTCTCAGCAATGTCGTGGAGAACTGTAGAAGACCAGCCAAGGCTTTAGCTCCCATTTTGAAAAGATATCTATCCATATTCTGCAAATATAAAATATTCTTTTGATACTATATTACTATACTATACTAGATTGAAATGTTTCTTTGATTGCCCTTGAATCTTCCTGCCACATTTGCCACCCTCTCCTGCCGCACCCTTTGAGAACCACTGGTGTTTTTATATAACAAGACCTTTCCTTCTAACTGGGAGCAGTAGCATTTAACCCCCACCCCCGATCAAATCATAAACAATCTACACCAGGGTCCCCTAGCATTTTTAAGAGTTAACGGGCACATTTAAAATTTTGAGAGATGTGAAAAGGCACCTTCATCAGTCACTGCTGCAGTTGCTCAGAGAGAGAAGCTCTCGCCTGTTCAGTATGGATGGAAGTATTGATGTGTGGTCCTGGCATCCAGTGCAATGTGGGCTTGTGGTGTGTGTGTGTTTTCAAAACAGGAGAGGCTGGGGCAGTGCAAATGGGAATGGCGCTAGAAGAGCAAACAGCCTCACACATGTTTTATTTATTTATAAAAAATATTTACATACCACTAAATCATTTACAAAAAGATAAAAACCATGCGATTTTTGAGGAAATATATGCAGAGATGCTTTGCAGGCATCATAGGGCATCCTAGGACCGGCTGGGTACCAGCACCTTTGTTGTTGTTTAGTCATTTAGTCGTGTCCAACTCTTCATGACGCCATGGACCAGAGCACGCCAGGCACTCCTGTCTTCCACTGCCTCCCGCAATTTGGTCAAACTCATGCTGGTAGCTTTGAGAACACTGTCCAACCATCTCGTCCTCTGTCGTCCCCTTCTCCTTGTACCCTCCATCTTTCCCAACATCAGGGTCTTTTCCAGGGAGTCTTCTCTTCTCATGAGGTGGCCAAAGTATTGGAGCCTCAGCTTCACGATCTGTCCTTCCAGTGAGCACTCAGGGCTGATTTCCTTAAGAATGGATAGGTTTGATCTTCTTGCAGTCCATGGGACTCTCAAGAGTCTCCTCCAGCACCATAATTCAAAAGTATCAATTCTTCGGCGATCAGCCTTCTTTATGGTCCAGCACCTTAGTGACCCCTAAAATTCTACACCACCCCCACCACCTCCAAAATCTTATGTATGGATGTTTTGCTGCTATGTAAAATTATTTTTAAAAACCCATCTCATTGACATTGTATCCCATGTCAGTCTTACTCAGAGCAGGCCAGTTGAAATTTACAGACGTGGCTAACTTAGGTCCATGAATTCCAGTGGGTCTACTCTGAACACCACTTACGGTAGTTGGGTATTGCCCAATGTACGTAATGGATAAATCAATGCAGCTCTTTAATTGGTTGATAGGAGTGGCTTTTGCTAACTTGTCAAAAGGCATTTCTGCCTGATTGGGGTGGGACGGGGGGGGGGGGGGATCACCAAAAAGAGATGGCGTTTCTGCTGCTCACCATTGTACTCTGAGCCCAAATGCCTTTGTGTCATTTCGCCAATGAAATTGGTTCCAGCCAGCTTTGCTGCTGGATGAATTACCCCGATTGACTGATAAATGAATAATTCTCCAGCCAATCAGATTTGCTTACTCCTGGTTGTACAGTGATTTTTGACTGAGGCACTGGGCATGCCAATTCTCCCCCGCCCCAAACAAGCCAATAAAAATGTGCCGTTTTAAAAATAACGAGCCCAGTTGCCACTCTGGTCTACTACCATCCATCACGGGAAAATGACAAAAATTTGCATCGTTAATCTCCGGCTGCCACAACAAAAATGCAGAAAGCACCAAGAGAGAATTGCTCTGGGCGGCCGGGGTTTGGGTGGGGGGAATGAATGTCTCCCCACTGCAAATAAATGCTTTGGCTTTTTTTTTCCTGTGGTGTTTTCAATGTTTGAAAAATGCCCCAGCTTCACAATGCCACTTACCTGGCACCAGGAGACCATTATCCTGACACAATGTTCTATTCTATTGACATAGGCTCTTAACTGCTTGCCTGCCAGCTTTTAAGTGGGCAGCTTTCGCCCTCCCTGGGGCAGGCAATGTTGAGGCAGGAAGCACAAGTGAGTGAGTGTGTGTGTGTGTGTGTGTGTGTGATTGTTACGGGTAAGCGATTAGCTGCCCGCCAGAAAATATTATGGGGGTAATATTTTGTAAATCACGTTGATTGTTTGCTTCAAACGAAGTTCACAGATGAATTAAATCTCCCTGTTTCCCAAGTTTCACCCACGCCTGTATATGTGTGGCGGGGAATTGACTTACTTATATTTACTGTATCTTATCATTGCATTTACAGTGGAGCTCAGGTTAAGCACTTAATTCGTTCCGGAGGTCCATACTTAACCTGAAACTGTTCTTAACCTGAAGCACCACTTTAGCTAATGGGGCCTCCTGCTGCTGCCGCGCCACCGGAGCACAATTTCTGTTCTCATCCTGAAGCCAAGTTCTTAACTCGAGGTACTATTTCTGGGTTAGCGGAGTCTGTAACCTGAAGCGTATGTAACCTGAAGAGTATGTAACCTGAGGTACCACTGTATATCCCACCTTTCCTCCCAAGGAATGCAAGGTGGCTCATGAGGTTCTCCCGCTCCCCATTTTATCCTCAAAACAACCTTATGAGGTAAGTCAGGCTAAGAGACAGTGACTGGCCCAAGGTCACCCAGTGGGCTTCGCAGCTGAGTGGGGATTTGAACCCTGGTCTCTTGCTAGTGCAGCACTCTAATCCATTTGCTACCTTGGAAGGAAGACACCAAACAAGGAATGCTGGAACCGCTATAAATCACAGTGAAGCCTTCCTGTGGACTGGTCTCTTTTGCCGAAAGAGGTGCAGGTGACTTGATTCTTCCTGTGTTTATGGTGTTGTGTCCCCAGCCTCTGAGCCTGTGCCCTGGCTGATTTTTTTCTGGTATGCTGCTTCAGCCTAAGGTGTTGATGGACTGTCCTACTGCACATGTTTAACTTTGGTGGCACACATTCATGGCACTCTTTCGCAGGTGGAATAAAGCTGAGATTGTCTTTAGGTACAAAAACCCCAACTTCAGGAAATGTCTTGTTGTAGCTCAGTGGCAAAAAGTGTCGTCAGTTTCCTTGGTTCATGGCTGAATCTCCAATGGTATCTCCAAGTAGGGCTAAGAACTCTTGCCAGGTATAAATACGCTGCAAAACAAAACAAAAATAAACATGTCTTTGCCATCAAGCCTCTGAGTGAGCTAATATATGTACCATCCGGAAAATGTGTCAAATTCCTGCGCCCCCCCCAAACTGAAGAGAAACCATGGATTAGCAGCCCAATTAAGGCATACTCAAGTTCATTAATTTCAATGGATTGACTTTGACTAAGAGTAGCATTTGATACAACCCCATGCCACAATTAAACTTAAGAGCATAAGAAGAAGAAGAAGAAGAAGAAGAGTTTGGATTTGATATTCTGCTTTATCATTACCCGAAGGAGTCTCAAAGCGGCTAACATTCCCCTTTCCCTTCCTCCCCCACAACAAACACTCTGTGAGGTGAGTGGGGCTGAGAGACTTCAGAGAAGTGTGACTGGCCCAAGGTCACCCAGCAGCTGCATGTGGAGGAGTGGAGACGCGAACCCGGTTCACCAGATTACGAGTCTATCGCTCCTAACCACAACACCACACTGGCCCATTGGTCCAGCATCCTGCTATTACAGTGGCCAACCAGATGCCCCAGTGGGAAACTTGCAAGCACAAGAGAACTCTTCCTTCCTGTGTTTTCTAGCAACTGGCATTTCACAGCATTAGTGCCTCTGACTGTGGAGGTGGAATGTGACCAACATGGGTTGTAGCCATCAAACAGCCCTTTATGAATCTGTGCAAACCTCTTAAAGTCATCTAAGCTTGTGGCTGTCACTACTGCCTCCTGCAGAAACGAGTTCCATAATAATAATAATAATAATTTTATTATTTATTTTCGCTGACCATCTGATTGGGTTGCCTCAGCCACTCTGAGCAGCTCCCCAACAGAATATTAAAAACCACAATAAAACATCAGACATTAAAAACTTCCCTATCTATACAGGGCTGCCTTCAGATGTCTTCTAAAAGCCAGAGAGTTATTTTTCTTCTTGACATCTGATGGGAGGGCATTCCACAGGGAGGGCACCGCTACTGAGAAGGCCCTCTGCCTGGTTCTCTGTGTAACTTTACCTCTTGCAGTGAGGGAACCGCCGGAAGGTCCTTGGTGCTGGATCCTAACATCTGGGCTGAATGATGAGGGTGGAGATGCTCCTTCAGGTATACAGGGCCAAGACCATTTAGGGCTTTAAAGATCAGCACCAACACTTTGAATTGTGCTCTGAAATGTACCGGGAGCCAATGTAGATCCATTAGGACCAGTTTTATATGGTCCTGGCTGCTGCTCCCAGTCCTCAATATGGCAGCCACATTCTGGATTAGTTGTAGTTTCCGAGTCACCTTCAAAGGTAGCCCCACGGAGAGTGTATTGCAGTAGTCCAAGCAGGAGATAACCAAAGCATGTACCACTCTGGAGAGACAGTGCTCAGGCAGGTAGGGTCTCAGTTGGCGTACCACATGGAGCTGGTAGACAGCTGCCCTGCACAGCCGCTCATAGTTTAACCAGGCGCTGAGCGAAAGAGGACTTCCTTTTGGTTTAAAATGAATGCATTGCAAAATGTCACACTGTTTAGGATGCTCTTTTAACACCTTGATCTGGACCTGCTTCTTCTCCCATCCTAGTTCCTTCATGTGACCGTGCAAGACGGTTTCTTGCATTTTCAAAACTGATGCTTGACTGTGAATTACACAGCTGGAAAATAAAAAGACCTCTGGAAATATAAATACCTTCCCCCAAAAAACTTCCTATATCCTTGAGATCCAGTGAGGTTACCCTGATAAGGGCAGGCTCATCTGGCGTCATGCTGCTATATTAACTTGCGTGGCAGACATTTCCTTTGCAAAAGGCTACAAACTCCATTCCGCCAGGTCAGGCAAAAGGCTAAGCTAGCTTGGAGGAGGAACGTCTCCCATTACAAGCAGCTGACCTCTTAGGAGAGAGGGAGCCAGCCCATCAATTGTCAGCTAGGAGAATTATCTCAGGTACCACGGTGGGAGGGAGGAGGGGGCGGGGTTGGCTGGAGGAGGGAGGGAGATGGCAAAGTTAAGTAATATTTCACAATGGAAATGCAATCACATCCTGGCAGCCCTTCTCTCTCCCCTCCTCCACATTTCCCTGGATATTTTAGCTTGAAATAATTAAAGTTATTGCCCAGATACTATTTTTACAGCTTGCAGGAGTAACATATGGTGAGACAACCAGCCTGGGTTTATTTAGGCAAGTGCCGGAGTTTTAACAAAATTAAAAAGAATAAAAATTCCTCCAAAAATATATATTTAAAAAGAACAGGCGCCGTTCTTATATATAGCAAGTGTTTCTCAAAAAATAAAGTATGGCAAGCTCCCTCCCCCCTCCCCATCTTCCTCCATGTGAGATGTGCTTTTGGTACTTTCGAGGAGTAGCAGCTGCACATTTCTCCTGCAGAGGAAGGAAAATGGGTCAGCGCCAGTTCTGATGCTGAAGGGAGGAGCCAGGAAAGGTTTTTCAAAGAGCTGGCCGCCTCTAAACAAGAGGAGGGGGAGTTTGTAAACACCCCCTGGCCTGGTAGCCTGTAGCCAATGGGAATCGCCTTCCAGTAAATCATAGAACTGTAGAGTCGGATGGGATCCTGAGAGTCATCCAATCCAGCCCCCTGCGATGTGTGTTCAAGATCTCCTTCGCCACAGCATAAGGACGTTTGTTTACAACGAAGAAAGAGAGAAGACAGGTACAGTCAAGGCTGCGCCTATAATCCGTTTTGGCTTCAGGATTCAGAATGCTGCGTATCTCAGCTGTCAGTAAGAAGCAAAAGAATCGGGCAATCTTCTAGTCCTCATGGGCTTGAATGTGCATGTTTGCATGTGTGTGTTTGCCTGCTGCAGTCCTTGAAGCTGTCAAGAGGTGTCATTAACTGGACCACTGTGTTCTGCAAAACCTCATGGCCATGCTCTATATGGCAGGCACCCCCAAACTCAGCCCTCTAGATGTTTTGGGACTACAACTCCCATCACCCATCACCCCTGACCACTGGTCCTGTTAGCTAGGGATGATGGGAGTTGTAGTCCCAAAACATCTAGAGGGCTGAGTTTGGGGATGCCTGCTCTATGGCTAGCAGGAATCCAGTAAGTTACAGAAACTGAATAATTATAAGCAAATGCATTTAGTTTGCATAGTGTATACAAGTTGTTGGCACTTAGAGAGCGAGGAAAGAGCATGCAGTGTACAAACAGCTCTGACTGTGATTCTGAGGTCTGTGACTTGACATAAGAAGAGCCTTTTGGAGCAGCCCAATGGCCCATCTAGCCCACCACACACTGTTGGTCTTTCAGCAACTGATATTCTGAAACGCCAAGGCTCCTCTTGCTAGGAATCCAAACCTGGATTTAAACCTCCGGCAGCCAACTCCTATTTCCCCATCTTTGATTTATTTAAACTTATTTGATTTATTGCTTTTTCTGACCCTGGAGGCAGAGCATAGTCATCATGGCTCATAGCCACTGATAGCTTTCTCGTCCGTGAATTTTGTCCAGTCCTCTTTTAAACCCATCCAAGGATAGCTCAGTCGAGCATGAGACTCCTAATGTCAGGGTCCTGGGTTCCAGCCCTATGTTGGTCAAAAGACCCCTGCATTGCAGGGGGTTGGACTGGATGACTCTTGTGGTCCCTTCCAACGCTACAGTTCTGTGATTCTAAGTTGGTGGCCATCACTGCCTCCTGTGGAAGGGAGTTCCATAGTCTATGCGCTGGGTGAAGTCTTTTCTTTTTATCTGTTCTAAATCAGCCTGGATAGCTCAGTTGGTTAGAGAGTGGTGCTGATAGCACCAAGATTGCAGGTTCGATCCCCGGATCTGGAACCCAGGCAGAGGGGCGGGCTATAAATAAATTATTATTATTATTATTAGGGCTTAAATGGGGGCCCTTTCTGACTCTACAATTGTATGATAACAGTTTTCAGTTTCATTGGCTGCCTGTGAGTTCTAATCTTAACTCACGCTGGTACCAGGTCAAAAAGACAGGGCAGTTTGCTCTTTGCACGTGCCCAAACCTGAATATGCTTTTGCCTAAAACACAAAACTGCAGGAAGGTCCCTTTCTGCTTCCACTTGCTGCTCAAAACACACTCCCCTCTTCAGACCACCAGACTATCAGCTGTTCTTCCTTTTGAGTTTCTGGGTCTCTAAATGTCTGATACTTGTCTTTCTCTTTCTCTCTCTTTTTTTTAAAGGAGATTTTTGCATGTTCTCGGCTTCCCCTCTTACTCCTCCGCTTTGAAATGTGTCTCCTGCGCTCCCCGCTCCCTCCCAAATAGGAGTGTGCTGGGCTTCCTCTGCGCTGTTGCCCTCTCTTTGAAATTTAAATTTCACCCCTAGCTCAGCTTTCTGCTGCCTTCGCTTTACTTTGAAGTATTCATGAGCGCAGTTATTTGAGGAAACCCTGACGCTATGATTAGTGATAAAGTAAACCGGGAACCTCGGAGGTGAAAGCGGCAGCGACGGCGTCGTCGTCGTCGTTTGCTTCGGCAGCTTTTTCAACCTGCAATTTCTAATTATAAAGCTCTGCCACGTTAATCCAATGCAGTCTTGCAAGGAGTTCCAACCATGAAAAGCTCGGCGGTGTCGGCGGCAGGGGACGCAGTCTCTCATGCAAAGTCCATACCCTCCAACATTTCTCCGATGAAAATAGGGATGTCCTATTCAATAATAATAATAATAATAATAATAATAATAATATTTATACCCCACCCATCTGACTGGGTTGCCCCAGCCACTCTGGGCGGCTTCCAACATGTATAAAAACACAATAAAACATTACACATTTAAAAAATCTTCCCTATACAGGGCTGCCTTCAATATGTTGTATAGTTACTTATCTCCTGATCTCCTGAGAGGTCGCATAACCCCATACCCTCCAATATTTCTCAGATGAAAAGAGGGACGTCCTAAGGAAAAGTGGGATACAGTGGTACCTTGGGTTAAGAACTTAATTCGTTCCGGAGGTCCGTTCTTAACCTGAAACTGTTCTTAACCTGAAGCACCACTTTAGCTAATGGGGCCTCCCGCTGCTGCCGCGCTGCCGAAGCACAATTTCTGTTCTCATCCTGAAGCCAAGTTCTTAACTCGAGGTACTATTTCTGGGTTAGCGGAGTCTGTAACCTGAAGCATCTGTAACCCAAGGCACCACTGTATTCCGGGATGAAATCAGAAACCGGGAATAGACCGTCCCTGGAAAATAGGGACACTTCTAAAATATCCCGGCTCTGGGTTGTCTGCACAGTTGGTTTTACTCAGAGTCGACCCATTGAAATACAGTGGTACCTCGGGTTACATACGCTTCAGGTTACAGACTCCGCTAACCTAGAAATAGTATCTCGGGTTAAGAACTTTGCTTCAGGATGAGAACAGAAATCGTGCTCCGGCGGTGCGGTGGCAGCGGGAGACCCCATTAGCTAAAGTGGTACCTCAGGTTAAGAACAGTTTCAGGTTAAGAACGGACCTCCAGAACAAATTAAGTACTTAACCCGAGGTACCACTGTAAATGGAAAGGGCTAATGTACACCCACGCACATCAGAACATAACAAGATGCCCCAATGGGAATCCCACAAGTAGGATCTGAATGCAAGAGCAACTTTCCCCTCCTGCGGCTTCCAGCAACTGGTATTCAGAAGCAATACTGTCTTCTGACCGTGGAGGCAGAGCATACCCACCATGGGAGTAGCCATTGATGCCCTTCTCCGTAAGTTGGCCCTATCCTCTTTTAAAGCCATCTAAGTTGGTGCTAATCACCGCCCCCTGTGGGAGTGAGTCCCACAGGTTAACTCAGTGCTGCATGAGTTTTATCTGTCCTGAATCTCCCAACACTCAGCTTCATTGGCTGTCCACGAGTTCTAGGGTTACAGGAGAGGGAGGAAAACTCCCCCCTGTCGACTTTCTCCCTGCCAAGCTTCATTTTATAAACTCCTATCATGTCCTCTCCGACTTGCCTTTTCTCTAAATTAGCCCCTGTAGAAGGTACTCTGGGTCTAAGCGGAGAATATACTTGCAGATGGCCATGTGGTTTGAAAGGGTATAAGGTAGATTCATTTCGCTGTAGATTTTGCTGGCGTTCAAAGAGGATTGGGCAGGTTCACAGAGGACAAAGCTACCAATGGCTACTAAACCCAGATGGCTATGCTCTCCCAGCTGCAGCTACAGATACCAACAGCTGCTGAACCTCCAGACCTTTCTGCATGCTGAGCCAGGGCCCTGAGCCGAAAGATGGGTCAGCCGCGGGATAAAGTCTTCAGAACCTAGTTGCCACGTGGCTCCCCACTTTGGCAGGTTCAGCAAATATTAGCAGCCTAGCAGTTCCCCCGCTTCCCCTATTGCGAGGCCTATTGCGGTTGTCGCCCTCTTAATTCCGCCCCGGAGACCCTGCATTCAGCTGCCGGGTGCCATGAAGGAGGCGATTTACGACGCCGGCACCTGCAGTGGGAAAATGACGGATGAAGAAAATGCCTTTAATTATCATTCCGTGCCACGTCCCTGTCTGCTCTCGTCTCGGGCGCTGCAGCTGTTGGCGCGCACTTTATTTTAAAGCCAATGTGCTTATCTGGAGGAGAGGCTGATCTCCCTGGGCAAATTGACTTGTGGGAGACGGGGGAAATGGCGCAGGCGGCAGCGAGGCAGGAGCAGCGGCAGCGGCAGCTGAGCAAATGCAGATTTGGGGCTGCGTTTGCTCCTCTTAATTGTCTGATCCGTTTGACTTCCCAGCAACTTCCCCCCACTCCCCGCCGCCACCGGCTTCTGTAAATAAAACATTTGTGGGGACACCGAATCGAACACCTACGACCGAATTGCTTTGCAGAGGAGACTCCGTGCCAGATTCCTCCCCCCCCCCCTTGCTGCTATCCCCGCCTCCCTCCCCCCCACCCCAGCACAAAATGCATTCTCTGAATAAATAAGATTTATGTAAGTTTGCTTGCGTTGTGGCTGCCTTCTCCGCTGACGTGTGCTGCTGCTGTGATAAAACACATTTGTTGGGTTGAATTTGGGATTCTGTTGGCAAAGGGCGGTGGAGTGGGCCGCAGAGGATGTGCTTTTCGGAGTGGAGGAAGAGCCTCTGCTGGATCAGGCCTGCACCCTGTGCCGCTCACAGCGCTTGACCAGATCTCCTGAGGAAGCTCGCAAGCAGGACATGAGGGCATCAGCCTTCCCTCTCTCTTTGCAAGGGAATCCTGAAGTTGGAAGGGATCTTACAGGCCACCTAGTCCATCCCCACCTGGCATAATTACCTCTTGCAAAGGAGAGCCCACCTCCTCCAGAAGCTGTCTCTACCCATGTCCAAACTGCTCCTTACCTTTAGAATCTTCCCGCTAATGTTTAGCTGAAATCTACTTCCTTGCCATTTCTACCCAATGGTCCTAGCCCTCAGTGGGCAGGAGGGCTCCTCACTTCCAATGCAAGGCCTCTTCCTGCTGGTCTTAGCCTTTCTGCTGAGTCTCACCGTGTCTCTCAACATCCAGCTCCCAGCTCACCAGGAATGTGATTCCAGAAACATGGCTGCTCATAAAGTGTCAAGCACTGAGAGTCCCGGACCAGAAGCTCTTTAACAGAGAGGCCCAAATGCCTGGTCACCTGCACCACTCGGGCAGGGGAATCATAGAACTGTAGAGTTGGAAGGCCCTCTGAGCATCATCTAAAAGTCTGTCTCAAATTCTTCATTGGACATCCACAAGTTGGAGTGTTATATCGCTGGTGACTCTGGCCTGGATCCTGGGCTCTGAGCACCTTGTTTTTCAGGCAAAGGCTGCCCATCTTGACGTGTCCCTTTTGCTGCTGCCCACTTGTGCTGCCAGCTTGCCTCCAGACTGTGAGATGATGAGAAGAAGGGCAGTCCTGGCCCCTGGATCACTCTGCCGTCCGCACAGGTGTCCACTTCATCCTTCACTTCCCTCATCCGGAACGGGGAGCCCTTTACGGAGCAGAACTAGGCCCTGCCTGCTCCATCTCCTCCTTTAGTGCTCAAGAGTCCCAGGCCCTGTCAAGGAAAACAAAACAGCTACTCAGCTCCAATTATCTCGAGAAACATCCCCCTTTTATCTGGTAATCATCGCGTGACATCCAAGTAATACCAACAGCAATTGTGATGATGTGGAGGCAAATATAATTAAACAATCATGTGGCAATAATTGACTGGAACTGCTTAAAAAGAGAGGCACAGAAGCAGTTTTTTTTTAGAAGGAGCCTTACAGATTGCATCAAGGTCAGGAAGAGATGGCAGCACCGTTACGATGCTCATCAGAGGAGCCGCGCCACGAAAGAATTAACACGTCTTTTTTTTCTGAGGGAACGCACCACGTACACAGCCCTCCTGCATTAATTTTTATTAAGCGTTTTATGTTTTAATACAAAGCCTCCTCACGGCGTTCTCTGAGCCTCGTATGCTTTATACGTGCCATATATTTCGGCGAAGGTTTCGCTTAGTGGAAATGTGAGATTTAGCACTGCACGAAGCCAAACGCCCTCTAGGAGGGCTGACTTGCTCCTTGACCTCTAAACGCAGTTGGTGGTTAAGGTGCCACGATCTTACCTGCTGATAGGTGTTGTTTTTTTCCAGGGAGGTGGAGATCTGTACTGGAAGCTGTACTGAGCCGCTATTGGCTGAGTTGTTCTGATGTCAGAGAGTGGAGTAGCAGGCAGCTAGGAAGCTAGAAGGAGCATCTAGGAGAAGCGGATGCAGGGGTGGCCCAGAAAACAGGAGAGCAAATAAGACAGGCTGGGTGGGTTGCACTGCAATGCTGCCTTCTATCCACAGACCATAAGCTGCTATTTCAAGGCCGTCTGCTGACTGGTGAAAAGGAAGAATAATCCTCATGAATAGAGGCTGTTCCCTCTATTGAACATTGGATCCAAGTGAGATATAGACGCTTACATCCTTTTCCCCAAAGAGCAAGTCAGTGTGTTTGCCCAGCAGCAAAGCTCTCTCCCCCCAGTCTCCCCACCTTCTCCTTTATTTTCCCAACTCCTGGTGCAGGATGGGGCACAGACAACCCTGACCCCCACTGGGGAATGGCTCAGGTTCTCATGCTGTTTTTCTGACTACAAACGTGCTTATCTCCTTTTCCTGGTTTTGGGTTGTCTGTGCTGTTTGGTTGGGTTGGGGGAGTTTCTCTCTCTCCAAGCGATGTAACAACACAGGCCTTTTGGCTGAATGAAAACCCCCTAATTACATGTGTCCCCCCCACAATTCTGTGTCCTACAATATGGTGGCAATCACTTATGGTGATTTCAAAACATGCTCTGAAGATTGTTTTTGGTAGTGGCTGTTCAAATAGCGGCTTATTTCTTCTCCAGAGGGGGAGTCCCCAGCCTGGATGGACAGCAGCTCTGCCACAGAATTATGGTGCTTCTGGGTCAGGCCATCTCAGGGCATTCCTGCTGAATTAAGCAAAGAAGAAGATGGCAGGGCCCAACCCCACACCCCAGTCCACATACAGAAGCTGACCTGGCTGGTAGCTGAAACAGTCTCCAGCACTGGAGATGAACCAGGGCAATGGTGTAATGTGGGTTGCCAGTGCCCGGGGCCTAGCAGGAGGAAAACGGATGGAGTACACATGAGCATTCAACTCCTTAACGGCATACAAGTCACACAGGAGATTGCAGCTGCAGAGATAAGAAGAGTTGTTCCATTGTCTGGAAATGTCACTTCCTGGTTTTCATGGAGAAGTCCTTTTCAACGGAGCCCAGCAACGCAAGTGCACAGCTGTATTGAGGCAACACTGGGTGTTGAAATTTTGCACTCCCTACAAATTCTGCGCCTGGGGCAACCATCCCATGGCCCTCTCCATGCTATGCCACTAAGTCAGAGTCCTCTGCTGGCCCTGGAACTAGCTTGAGGGGGTTCAAGGCAAGCCCCCGGCATAGTAACAACCCTATCCTCCAATGCCCTGGAACTACTCCCCAACATCCACCTCCTGAGGCAGTTGCCTCAACCTGCCTAATGATAGGGCCGGCCTGGTTGCTGCTGCTGGTTGATGGCATCAAGCCCTTTTGCCTCACTGCGGTCTCCTGCCTCTGGCTGATGCATGGAGCCCTCCTTTTACCCCACTGGAGAAAGGTGAGGTCTGCAGGTCTGCTGCAGTTTGATGCTGCTCCGTGCATGTGTGCTTGTAGTGCAGGATTCTGCTTCCTGAGAAAGTGGGCACCCAGTGAAGCTGAATGTTGGAAGGTACAGGACAGCTAAAAGAAAATCCTTCCTCACGTAGCACAAACTATGGAACTCACTCCCACAGGAGGCAGGGAGGGCCACCAACCTGGAGGAGAAGGCTATCTATGATTCCTAGCCACGGTGGCTCTGCTCTGTCTCCAGAGTTGGATGCAGAAAGGCTTCTGAGTACCACTCTCTAGAAACCACAGGTTTGGGTCCTGTTGTGGGCTTCCCATTGGGACATCTGTCTGGCCACTATGAGAACAGGATGCTGGACTTAGTCAGGCCATTGGCCTGATCTTAAAGTGTGAACAAGGGTCAGACAAAATCTCTGAAATGGGTGGCCAAATAAGAGTGTCAAACTTGGGTGGCTCATGCAGCTCTTTGCCCCTCCCCCCGACTAGCAGAATAAATTATGCAAATTTGCAGGGTGAATGCAAAATGGATTTGGGGCAATAGGAGAGCTGTGGTTTCGTTTGCAGTGTGGTGGTATGTTGGTGGAGCCTCTGGCTGCTTCTGCTACTGACCTAAGCTGGCAGCCTCCCCCCACCCTAAGCCGGGATAGGGGACAGCGGGTGGCTCTATGCAGCTTTCGGAAAGCTTTCTGGGCTGCTGTGTCGTACAACAGCGTCTCGTGTTCCTACATCTGCAGTAGGGATTTTTAATGTGTGAAGCTGAATTTTAATCACTGCCTCAATTGACTATTAAAATACAGCACCGCACCATAAAATCACTGTTGCTCTGCTGCGGGGATGCGTCCCAGAGCAGCAGAGTGGCGCTCATGCGGGCGGCGAGCTGATGATTCTGATGAGGGCTGCAGCTTCTGTCATCTGTCTTCTTCCCTAGCTTGGCTCCTGTCCCTGCTTCCTTTTGCAAGTGGGGACCAGGGGGGTGGGACGGGGTGAGTTGAAGGGCCATTGGAGCATCTTCTGTGCATGCACAAGGTCCCAGGGTCAACCCCCAAAGGCCTCTCCAGGGAGTTCTGGGGAAAGAACCCTGGTCCGAAATCATGGAGAGCCGCTGCTGCCAGTCAGTGCAGACAGTGCTAGATGGACCATTGGTCTGACTCAGCCTTCCTATGTTCTTAGGAAGAAATCCCCCACCAATCACTGAAACTGAAATGGCTTGGTAAGAAAGCAGCAGTGGGAGGGACCACCCACATTGCAGGAAGAAGGCCCCAGGTCCAGCCCTTGGCATCCTCAGTCCAAAAGGGACCAGGAAGGAGCAGGTGATGTGTAAGAGAAGCTCTACCCTCCTCTATGAACTCGCCCCCTTTTAAAGCTTCCTCTTTACCCCTTTGACTCAGGACTCATTACTGCGAATGGAGGTTTTGAGAGCTTTCCTGATGAAATGAGCACAGCATCCCAGCATTGGGTTACAGGTTACAAACAGGCAGAGAACTATGAGATAAGGGTAGGCTTAGCTAAGATGTTGATTCAACCATTGAGACATACACCCCCCCCACTCTCCTTCCGATGTGTCCAGATCTCCACTTCCCAATCCGCTGGGACCCTACCCCAGATCGAGCTCTTCCAGGGGTCCCAGCCCACCGGTGCTTTCCCTGCGGTCCACCTCCTCCAGCTCTCCAAGCTCCTTCCCTCCTTCCATGTCATCTGACTATTGTCTCCTCTATGTCTCCATGGGACTCACGACACCACAAGTAAGTTGGTGGGGGTTACTATACGTCCTGAGGCAACAAGTCCCACATTTTTACCATGCCATTGTGGAGAAGTCCTTCCTTCTGCCAACATTCCAAGAATGGTGCTCAAAGGGTTTGCGGGGCAGACGGCCGCAGCCACAAATTCGCATAAATCGGCACATGCTCATTTATAGATGCTTCTGGGCAAATGAAGATGGCAGGTGGGCCTGGGGGTCTCACCTGTGCTGTGTTTTGCAAACTGTGCACCCAGCCCTGCAAGCAAGCAGACATATTATTTATTTATAGTGGTACCGCAGGTTAAGAACTTAATTCGTTCTGGAGGTCTGTTCTTAACCTGAAACTGTTCTTAACCTGAAGCACCACTTTAGCTAATGGGGCCTCCAGCTGCCGCTGCACGGCCACTGCACGATTTCTGTTCTCATCCTGAAGCAAAGTTCTTAACCTGAGGTAATATTTCTGGGTTAGCAGAGTCTGTAACCAGAAGCGTATGTAACCTGAAGCGTATGTAACCCGAGGTACCACTGTATTGCATTTATAGCCTGCCTTTTCCTCCAAGTATCTCAAGGTGACGTACATGGTTCTTCCCACTGTCAAGTAGGTTGGGCCAGGCATGAGGGACTGGCCTAAGGTCACTGCAGTAAGCTGAGCCAAGTGGGGATTTGAACCCTGAACTGTCCCAGGTCCTAGTCTGGCACTCTAACCACTAGGCCACCCTGGCTTTCAAATTTAATACATGAGAGAGTTTGAAAAGAGGGTGGGAAGAGGTTCCGGGGTCCATACACTTGGGACTCGGCCACTCTTGGCCTCTGGCTAGCAAGGTTCTGCCCCGTCCGCACTGAGGAAGCCTTGAGCCTGGTCCATTTGCCTCTGAAGCGGTGACACAGCAGACTTGCCAGGGACGGCCATCTGATTCACGGTTTGTTGGCACAGACTTTGGCTGTGTCGTATTTACTTTTTTGTTTACTGTTGGCTGTTAACAACGGTAATTACCGTATAGTTGTGAGATGAAAACATGACTAAATTATGACAGCGCTTGTGTAACAATCTCTTTGAACGGGCTCGGAAGGCAACAGCTGTACAATTAGGCTATAAATTCTCTTAAATGAACTTGTCTCTGCCAATGGTACCTGGGTGGCAGTGCTTTGGATGAGATAACTAGGCTTAATGGGCTCGGCGAAGGAGCCCCGTGAATCGCAGGAGAAAAGAAGGGGAGAGAGGGGAAACTTTGGTTTCTCTCTGCAAGCCTTCTTGCTCTCTCCGGAAAGCAAAATAACCTGGCCCGGTTAGTTTCCTCGCTTTCGTTGTGGGACAACCGAGAAAGCCAAGAGTTGCTCCTTCTCTCCGCCTCGCTCTCTCTGGCGTGATATTTGCTTCAAAGCCCGCCTGGCGTCTCAACACAGGTTCTCTCTACAGATGGCAGAAGGGAAGTTGGGAGAGAGAAAGGAGGCCTTGCACTGGATTTGTGTCGGTGCCAAATTCCGCGTGGGCAACTGCCTTCGTCTGATCGTCTCTTGAAGCTGTAAGGCAAAAGCCAAAACGATCAAGCAGTGCAAAGAGACGAGTTTCCGCTGCACTCCCTGTATTGATGTGTATTTTGCTAATTAAAAAGAAGCTGCTCCGGTTTGAATTAGACTGCATTTCAGGCAGCAGTTAGGGAGCTTCAAAACGGTATTTCTCGTGTTTGGAAAATAACAGCCGTCCGAGACTAGCTTCCCGTATCTTTTCTAGTCTGAAGCAGACAAGGGTAAGACCATGAGGGTGGAGAGGTTGATGGGTGGCTGTAGTCAGGGCTGCTTTCTCCAGTTCAGGTTTCCACCCCTGCACTCTGGCTTAGCATTGCCTACAGAAGATAGTCTTCTGTGTTATATCACTCATCAGCCCAGCGCTGCTGTCCTGGAGTCTCTTTCTCTGAAGCTTGCAAGCAGGGCATGGGTGCAATCGCATCATAGCATCATAGAAGTGTAGAATCGTAGAATCATAGCATCATAGAATCTTATGAGTTGAAAGGGACCACAAGGATCATTTAGTCCAACCCCCTGCAATGTTGGAACCTCAGTAACAGCATCCATGACAGATGGCCACCCAACTTCTTATGAACCTTCAAGGATGGAGAGTCCACCACCTTCCATGGGAGTCTGTTTCACTGCTGAACAGCTCTTACTGTCAGAAAGTTTTTCTGAATGTTTAGTCCTTTTTTGCAACTTGAAGCCACTGGTTCAAGCCATACCCTCCAGAGCAGGAGCAGCTTGCTCCATCTTCCATGGGACAGCCCTTGAGATGTTTGAAGTTGGCTATCATATCTTTTCTCAGCCTCCTCTTTTCATGTAGGTGAAAGGAAGTGAGTGTGGCATTGGCAGTCCTAAGCAGGCCCCAAATTGGGGCTCTTCCCAGAGGGGGCAGCAAATCTCCCCATTGCCAAGGAGACCTTGGAGCTGGACATCCTTGCCCCAGGGTGGTGGTGGGGTTTCCCCATACCAGCTACCTGGCTTCCTGGCTGGCTCTCACCCAGGAAGACAGGAGGAGAGAAGATGGAGAGACAGGCAGGAGATTCAGAGCTGCCATGGAAGTGCCCTGCCTGTGAGGCTACTCTGGAGGAGCATGAAGTACATGAAAGCACTGGCTCAGATCAGGACCCAGCTGAGAGCCAGGAAGGCCTCCAGGTCCTCTGAAAGCTCCTTATCTGAGTGGCTTCATTGCTGAAGCACTCGGGACAGGAGTGCAGGACATTGCCCTGGGTTGCCACTCCAGTTGCAACATCTTCAAAGGAGTCTTTTCAGTGTGGTGCAGCACTGCACATCGCTCCTGGCTGGAAGCTGAATGTTGGAAGATTCAGGACAGATAAAAGAAACTCGCTTCCACACACAACCGAACTATGGAAGTCATTCCCACGAGAGGCAGGGATAGGCACTAACTTGGATGGCTATAAAAGACGGATAGCAAATTCATGGAGGAGGAGGAGGAGGCTATCTGTGGCTTCCAGCCATGATTGCTATGCTCTGCCTCCACAGTGGTAGTGATGCTTCTGAATAGCATTGTTGAATCACATGTGAAGGAAAGAGTTGCTCATGTGCTTAGGTTCTGCTTGAGGGTTTCCCATTGAGGCATCTGGTTGTCCACTGATGCTGGCCTGATCCAGCAGGCTCTTCTTATGTCCCCCCATTGAGTAACATGGTTGGTCACTGTGGAAACAGGATGCTGGATTAGATGGGTTAATCTGCAGAAGTTTCCAACCAGCTTGCTCACAGAACTCAGCGCTATTGCTGATAACCTACATAATCCAACAGGCTCTTCTCATGGTCTTATGAACTAGCTGCCCATAATAGTGGCTGCCTCAACTCTCCTAAAGAACATGTGCATCCTTGCTAATATAATGCACAACTGTGGGCTACACAAGGTTGAGGGATGAGTTGATGCTGTATGTTGTATTGAGACACACCCACCCATCCACCCCATGAATGTGTTTAGTACAAAGAGAATATTGGTACATGTAATCCCAATCTCTGAGAGACTCCTGGGATCCTAGCACTTACCCAGGGTTTGGTTGGGTTGGAAGGTCCGTGGAGACTGTGGTGACTTACAGACATATGTTGCTAGGAACAACAGCGGGCAGAGTTTTCTCTTCTGCGCGGGTCCTGCTTACGGGTTTCCCATTGATGGATCTGGTTGGCCACTGTGAGAACAGGATGGTGGACTAGATTGGGCCGCTGGTCAGATCCCCATGTTGTTAGAGGGAGCCATTCTCAAGTGCACTGGAGCAAGCTGGTTTTTGCATCAGCGTCCCGTTTCTTAACTTATGGATATTGTTATCTTTCTTGGAAAGCTGCTGTTTTCAATTCCAGTTACTCTGATCCCTGTAGTAAGGAGGGGCTGAAAATGTATTGGCAGAACGGAATGGAATTGGGTTTGGTCATAAGCTGAATTTCCTCCCATCCCCCGCCCCCACCCAGCTGCTCCTCGTAGCTGTTTCATTCAAGTTATCTGATGGATGTCTGTTTCTTAGGGTTTTTTTGTGAATGGATGTAGAAGCACATTAGAGAAACCGGAGATGGTGAAACGGTGGGGGTGTCCCCTGAGGGTGTAGCCTTTCCTGAACGAAGATATTTTGTGTGTGTGTGTGTGTGTGTGTCTGAGCGTGTGCTGAATTTTCAAGTGGCTTTGCTGATTCGACAGTTTTGCTGAAAGTTTCATTGAAAACCTCCTGATGTTCTGAATTGTGTGTGTGTGTGTGTGTACACACATTCTGATTGCTGTGACCTGTGGTTGAACAATGGATGATGATGAAGACGGACATGTCAAACTCAAGCAGCAATTTCTCTGTGAAAGCACTTAGTTTGGAAATCTCTTGTGCTTTGATCAGAGTGCCTCTTTTCATTGAGCTCGGGAAATGTTGCAAAATCCGAGTACATTTCATTAATCTGCATTTTTATGCGATGTGTGGGTTTGTTTGTTTTCTTGTTTGCAATGCACTGCATTTTCTTGTCAAATGTTGAATAATTTTTTTTTACTGTTTGTAAGTCGCGGGCTAGAGCAAAGATGGGCGAAATTAATCAAATCTCTTAAGTCAGGTGCAAGGCTAAAGGCCCAATCCACCTGTCTCCCCACCCTGGGGGTGTTTAGTTTTCTTTGCTCCTTCCCACATGGCAAGTGGATTGTAGGAGAGGTATCAGGTAACTGAGACTGGCATTGACAGATTGGAACACAGAAAGTTGCCTTCTATGCCAAATCAGACCCAGCTTTTTACTGACTGGCAGTGGCACTCTGCGATTTCAGACCAGGAGTCCTTCCTGGTCTTACCTGGAGATGCCAGGGCCTTCTGCATGCAAAAGAGATGCTCTGCCACCTAGGTACAAGCCTTATCTTATAAGTAAAGCAAGATTCCAGTCATCATGGTTCTGAATGGAGGATCATCTCAGTATTGCCTGCACTGCCTCCAGAATTTCAGACCGAGAGTCTTTCCCAGACCGACCTGGAGATACCATTCAGGATTGAACATGGGACCTTCTACAAGCAAACCGTTGAGCTTGGGCTCTTTCCTTTTTCTTACGGGCAAATACACTTGCCGATTGAAACCCCGCATAACCTTCCTTCTCCCTAGCCAGGTATGATCTGAGTTGACTTGGGGGCTCATTTGGATCGTCATCCACTCATCCTGGCCATTTTCACCACCCGCCGCATTCTCCGGCGAGAGAGCTCCTGCTTGCTTCTTGGAATAAATTGCCCAGCAATGCGTTTGTCCAGATTTATTCCCTCTTTATTTTGCTAAATCGAGATTTTCTACAGCGTTTCGTGGTTCAGGAGGAGCTCAGCTTCGTGGGGCCGTGGGCAGGCGCTGCCTGTTCCTGATCCAGGCTCCGAAATGGATTGGCTTTTGCTGCTACTGTTCCGGCACTGTCTTTCTAAGTCCTGGTTATTAATGGGGCTCTGCAGCTCCCCACGGAAAGATTCAGGCTGTAAATAGCGAGGCCAGGAAAATATGGCACCTGCAATCAGGCTCGCTTGTCTGCTCTCGGAAAGAGAAAGCTCTCCACGTCCCGCCATATATTGCTCCGGACTTTCCCTCGGAGCCACCTGATTGCTGGCAGGATGCTAATTTATGGGAGCATAACTCAAAAGAAACAACACGAGAAAAGTTCTCTTCTGCGTTTGGAGATAATCCACTTAAATCTCAGGGAATGAAGAATTAAGAGGGCATCTATGGAGCAGTGATAATTCTTTCCC